TTTGGATCTTCCATGGACAACCCATGGTATTTAGGAATATGATGCAACAAGCTTGACTTCAATTCAAACTCATCGGTCTTACCTTGGGCAGCCCCGGGGTATTGAATGCAAAGGGGTGTGGCATTGGCTAACCCCGAGCCGAGAGCTCTTTTATTGTATGGTTGTCGACTGCCATCACTTCTTCTTCTTCTTCTTCTTCTTCAAATTCAGATTCGGCCTGTGAACTTGAACTAGGTTCGCTAGGTTCTGGATGCCTCCTCTTTCTTCTTCTCAAATCTCGTTCAAAATCGTCATTAAAGTCCAAGATATGTTCACGAATCGGTTGAGAACTCCGAGTCATAAACTAGTACCTAAACAGAGAAAACAAAACAAAATCAGAAACCAGTAAAACACAAGGCAAACACAAGGAATTAGCAAGTTTGCTAATCCCCGACAACGGTGCCAAAATTTGATGTGAAAATTATGTTGACACACAAATTAAACCCTATTGATGACAATTGTAGTATTAAGCAAGTAGGGATCGTTCTAAACCGGGGATTAACTAGGGATGCTAATCAACACAAATAAGACTCAAAAACACTAAACTAGATTCTATAGACTCAAAACTAACTCAAAACACTCAAAATAGCAAGAAACAATCCACAAAGACTCAATTCTAGACCTAACAAGTGATTTGGACGAAAATAGAACTTAAAAGACTCAAACAACTAAAAGAAAACAGATTTTGACTCTAAAAACAAGACTTAATGAATGGGGATCTTGTTTTGACGAAATTGAAAGTTAAAAAAGAAACTTTAAAAACAAACTTAACAAAAACGATTTTGGATGAAAAATAATGGTCAAAAGCTAGTTAGAGGGATCCTTCTCCACACATGACATATGCATACGAATCGATTTCCAATTATTCTTTCGACCAACCATGAATGACAATGTCCCAAATTAATTGTATTGAACTAATTAATTCTCAGATTTCCCTAGATTCATTGAATTGAATGGATAACGCATCACAACCAAGTTATTCTTTATCAAGTTCCCTAACTACGGAATACGCATGATAGAAACACTCAACAAAGATCATTAAGTTCAATGGAAACCATAAGCATTGACGAGGCATTCATAACTATGAAAAGCAGGTTACTCTTGCCTAGGATTTACTTAACACAATCGTGACTAACGACTTTTATTACTCATGAATATAAGTTCATAACGATCAAGTGAAATTCCCTCATACTCTAACATCAAATTCATGCATGCAAACTAAGTATGCATCCTTAATTAACACACAAGAACACATTCTTAATAAAACAGATAAGTAAACCACATCCACGATTCATCAAACAATAATTGGATGAAATCAATTCATATAAAACATATAATCATGGCTTCGAATTCACCTCTAACTATAAAGAAATTAGTTCCTTATGTTCGCAAATAAACAAAGATAACTTGAATTAAACATTGAAACAAAAGATGGAAAACACCTAGAAACGCTCCAACACTCCCAAAGGCTTGGGCATATGCATGGCACCAAGTAGCTCTTCCTTTCTCCTTCCTTGCAATCTGCGGCACAATGAGGGTGAATGTGTTTGAGGGATGTATGAATGTAGAATTGTATGGTAGAGAGTGGTGAATGATTTGTGCGGCAAGGGTTGGTATTTATAGGTTGGAATTCATGTCAAAATCCCTAAGGGTTTGGATAGGTTTCTGAAATTAAAATGGGATATGGATTGTGAAACCAAAACCCAAGTGGAATGGGTTAAATCAATCAGAAAACCAAAGGGGATTAGGTCAATAAGGTGCGGCACTAATTCCTACAAGGAAAGGGATACATTTGGCCTAAATCAAGAGGGAAAAGGATTGAGATTTTAGGTTCTAGAGCTTCTAGAAATGGGGGAAAACGCCAGATTTTTAGATGCTTCTAGAAAAGATGTTTTAGCACCAATTTAGGGGTTAAGGGTTTTAGAATCTGAAATATATAGTTTAAATACATAATTATCCCTTATAAATAGCTGGAATCAAGGCACAAATTGATTTGGATAAGATAGGATAAGATAAAGTTAGGTTAGGCAAGGATAAGATAAGGTTGGATAAGGTTTTGGATAATGTTCCTTCTTTTGAGCTGATTTCATATCTTCCTTGACTTGGATTTATTTCTTCACTCTTTTCAGCACATTCCTAGCCTCTTGAACTTCAAATTCGTCCATCCATCTTGCTCCATTCATAAGCTATCCATTTGGTGCCCAAAACTGCCTCAAAATGCTCCAAATTGCACTTTCTTTCCAATTTTGTCATATGGACCTACAAACACACGACAATAGCTTAAAACACAATAATAAACATAAACAAACTATGAAAATGCAAGAAAACAAGCTAACTAAGTCGCATAAATATGCTCCTATCACTTCTACAAATAAGGACTAGCACCTACTTGTCTAAAAGTTCATCATAACCGGATTTGGAAACATTGCTGACAGAGTGTTCCTGACAGAGAAGCATCATGTTGAATTTTTAGAAGTATCGTGTTCTTGAAGGAGTGTTAAGTGTCATAAATGGATTTGGAAAGATTGCTAGTGTTGCCATCAGGTGAAGTTCATAATTTCCGTAGTTAATGTGTAAGTGTATTGGAATGCAAAAAAAAATATTAAAGGGTGAAACGACTGACCTATTAGATTAACGAGCTGAGTTCGGATGACCCGTTAGTTTAACGGATCGGATTGAACCCGACCCGTTTACAGGTCTAGCTACTGCACACACACACACACACACACACACATATATATATATATGCTACATGATTGATATTTGATTAGTTCTAACAATCTAGATGAGAGTTCAAGCGTAGTTGTTTGGATTTCAATTTCAGGCTGAATTTACTAGTCTAGATTATCTTTCTCGTCTTTTTCTAGTTCTGGTTTTAATCATGTTTTTTTTTTTATGGATTGCTCCCTTTCCAATGTTGGCACTTCTTTGTACTTGCGTCTAGGCACCTTTTGCTTTTTGATGAAATGAATCTTGACAAAAAAATAAAGGGAACTTTAATGAAAAGGGCTTGGCCAACAAATATTTAACCAAAAACCATTCCAAAATGTTATTTAACCAAAAAGACTCAAAGTTTAATAAAAAAAATCATCCAAAACTATTGTCCACGAGTCAAACTTACAAGCCCAACCCACTACAAATCTACACTTCCGTTAATACCCCTAAATGATTTGATATTGTCTTGACTTTTCACCAACCTCAACCCAGCACGAAACCGCCATAATATCTCTCTGTCTTCCTATCAAATCGAATTCCCCGATTTCAAAAACAACCAAATCAAAGTTCAAATCAAAGTTGAAAAAAGAAACATTTATCGGAACAAAGTCACCGAAACAAGTTCAAAGAAGTTTAATGGCAGAAACCAGCGAAAACGTGTCTGGAAAAAAAAAACCCAAAACATAAAACTATTTCTGGATAACCAAAACATAACACTGTTTCTGGAAAAAAAATCAAATACAATGTTTGTTTTGTTTATGCACAAACAAACACTGTATCTGAAAAGAAAAGAACCAAAATAAAAAAACAGTGACTTAAATTCTAAAAACAATGACTTATATTTCAAAAACAGTGACTTAAATTCCAGAAACAGTGACTTAGTTTCAGAAACAATCTATATTTTAACATTTGACTGTTTCTTTTCTTTCGTGCATCAGTTGATTATATTTAAGAAACATGGTACTTATTTTGCTTTGAATCCAAATACAATGAATTTCAATATTTCTTTTCTAGCTTACATTTAAGAAACAGTGTGTCTATTTCATTTGAATCCATAAACATTGACTTAGATTTCATAAACAGTAACTTAGATTCCAGAAACAGTGACTTAGATTTCAGAAACAATGTTACTTAAAATCCAGAAACAATTTATTTTTACTGTTCAGAAACAGTGACCTATCGTTTTTACTGAATAGCATGCAGATCTCAAATTTATTTTCTGGAGAAACAAACGATGAACTCTACTGACAATGAAAAATTGAAAAACAGTACCTCAAATACATTATGAATGATAACGACGATCACATTTCAACGAAATAATACAAAATATAAATTAAATACATGATGATCTATATTTTGGTTTCAAAGAAAAATGAGAAGGACTGCAAAACAACGATGTACTTCATTAATGACGAAAATTTGGAACTCATCCTAGAAAAGTTAGGGGTAAAATCGACAAATCATAATTTATTATAGTTTGGTCATTTTTAGTTAGACTACTTTAATATGGGTTTTGTACTAATCATTAAACAAAACTTATAACATGGTTTTTTATTATAACTAAAAGTTTTCAAGAACTTTTTATTAGTTTTCCTAAAAATGAAACTTACTTTATGTGGAAATATGAAAAAAAAGAGGCAAAAGGAAGAAAACAATGAAAAACAAAATATGGTAAAATGAAATAAAATGTAAGTAGCTTGTTACTCAATTGATTAAGAGCATTCACCCAAGCAACCAAAGTCTATGTTTGAAATCTCTCTCATAATTTAATATAAATTATCCTTTTATTTGCCAACAAAAACAAAATAGAAAATGGCACAAGTAGCCCCCCATACTCAAAGAGTGACAACCAAAGTCTATGTTCGAAATCTCTCTCATAATTTAATATAAATTATCCTTTTATTTGTCAACAAAAACAAAATAGAAAATGGCACAAGTAGCCCCCCATACTCAAAGAGTGACAAATGCGCACATCCCTAATAATGAAGGGGTATTTCAGAAATTTTGCTATATGTTTTGTTATTATATTATGATTCATTTAGACATGCTTTTTAAATGATTGAAAGTACTTTTAAATAAAATGTTTTTTGGTTCCAAAAGTAAAGTATTTTATGCAAAAACTACTAGTTATATGCTTCTTCAGAAAGTACTTTCTGTAATTTTTCAAAATTTACTTACATTTTTACTAAAAATTAGTTCAAAAAATATTAGGATAAAAAACGCTTTTAACCAAGCTGTTAGACATCCACAGCACCCAGTCAGAAGTTTGTCTAAATTAATTCCTCGAAACTAATACCAATTGGTGAGGCGATGTTTCAATTCTTCTCAAAGCAAAAGCAATCCCAAATACTTGCTCTAATGCTAGTAGTTGCAGTCCCTCTGTATTTCTCCTTCAATTTTACACAACCCAGACCGAAAGCAATCACTTCATCCGGGTCTGAAGAAGAAACTCCCATGGCCGCCAACGAATTTGGTGTAAAAGTTGAAAAAAATCCCACTCAATCCAAACTGACTGAGCTTGGAGTCGCAACTTGGCCCAAGTATGTAACTCTTCATCTCCCATTCTCTTATTATATGCTGATTGAATGAGAAAATTGGGTGATGGTTTTGTTTTGTTTGGCTAGTGAGAAAACTGGGTTTTGTTTTTGGGGATGGATTATAGAAAATCAGACCATTTCAGTCACTTGGTAGGAAATTTTGTTTGTGTTTGTATATGATGATCTGTGATTTTACATGAAAGATTTCAACTTTGATGTTTTGGTTTTACTTCCCCTTGCTTGTTGGTAAACCCCTGAAATTTTTCTTACCCAACGTGGTCAATACTGTTCTGGATGGAACAATTGTAATACCAGGGGTCATAAGGAGGCTATGAACATGATGGATAGCTTGGAAAAAGAAAGGAAAACAAAATCTATGCTACATTTGAGACCACCCGTCTAATTATTCGATTTGATCTGGAGTGTGGAGACTAGGAGTGAAAGACTTTACAATTGAGCATTGACCTTATTGAACATCCACTTCTCACTGGCCATGTGATCTTGGTAGTGCTTCAGCTTTGTGTTATTTGCTTACAAGAAGCATGATATATCACATACCAGAAATATATCGTTCTTTCCTTAAAGTTGTCAACTATCGGGCTCCCCTGCCCTCTTGTCATTTAGTTGGCGGCTGGTTAGAGTGGACGTACTGGGCATTTAACCCCTGTCGTCCTTCAATCACCTATGCCAGCAGTCCTTGTCGGTTTTAGCTATGGTTGCTCTGTTAGTTTCTTCATTCAGTTTATCTCTTTCGGCCTTGTCTTGTCCTCCTGTGGAAAAGACTTTGCCTCCCTGTTGTAATTGAGCTCTCTGGTCTTTTCCCTGACTGAAGTACTATTTCGATTAAAAAAAAAAGTTTTCGACTATACATTTTGCTCGACAAGTTCATAGATGAAGGAGATATCACAGCTAATGAAGTCAACGTTAGCTAGTACAATCAGCAGTTAGTTCAGAATTGGTTTTGATCTTCTTTATTCAATTCTACAATTAGATTTGTTATCATCTGTTGGTTGTTAGGCTAAATATACTCTCGGAATTGCATTATATAAATACTGGAGTTGTACACTTCATTGATTAAGAAATGAAATCATTTTTGTCATATTTCATTATGGTATGTTGTGGATGGAAAAATTATAAAAACCCTCGCTCATGAGGAGGCTATGAACATGACGGATAAATAGATGGGTCGTGGGAGCTGCAAATAGCTTTGGGAAAGAAAGAGAAAAAAAAAAAAAAAAAACGTTACATTTGAGACCAACCTGTCAAATTATTCGATTTGATCTGGAGCATGGAGAGTAGGAGTGAAAGAAAATACAATTGAGCACTGACCTTAGTGAACACCCGCTTCTCACTGTCAATGTGATCTCCTTAATGCTTCAATTTTGTGTTATTATTTGAAGAAGTATGGTATATGATATCCAGGCTATATATGTGCTTCCTTAAAGTCATGGACATTGCTCGACAATTTCATAGATCAAGAAATAAGATATAGGATGATATTGAATTTTCTAGGAAGCTACATAGTGCAAAAACTCCCTTTTCTTGACGACGTACATTGCTAAGGCTGGAAGTATGTGAATTTGGCTAGCGCCACAAGGGCACCCTTCTTTATTTTGTCCCAGCTCTTGTTTTGAATTTGGAGGACAAATTATAAGTTTTCTCATTAAACTGTTAGTTTTAGCTGCACTGGTATACCAAACTTTTTTTGTAAAACCGCTTAATAATCATTTTTATAAAGAATAATCTGGAAGCTTGGGACATATGTTCCTTGTAACAGAAAAGAAATAAGACCCTATAGCTGCACATTTCATGTTTAATCCATGTGCATTAGAGGAGCTTTTCTTGTTTATTTTATACACGTACACCATGTTATTATTTTGCAATGAACTGGATTGTGAATTCATTCAATAGGTGGAGTTGTGGTCCAAGCAAATTTCCATGGTCATTCAGTGCCACGGAGACTATGTATCTGCTGGAGGGGAAAGTGAATGTTGAAGTTGATGGGAAAGAAGGATCTTTCACAATCGGGGCCGGTGATTTTGTTGTCTTCCCTAAAGGAATGAAGGTCACTTGGGATGTCATTGAAGCTGTGAACAAGCATTATAGCTTGGAAGAGTGACGGATTTTGTCTTTCAACTGATGTTGGTGAAGCATGCCATGTAAAACGACAGATTGTACTCTCAGTTTATGTGGTATTTGTGTATGTTATGTTGTGCGAGTTACTGAGTTCTTAGAGGCATATTTGCTCTCGTGTTAGATGCAATGAACGGTTAGAACGTTATTGATCTTATGAAGATCCGCACAAGACTAGCTATGACATGTAGTCTTTTAAGCAGAAAATGGAACTATTCCGTTTCATTGAGTTCTGTAACTTCTGTTGCATCACAACAATATGTCTTAGTTTTGCACAGTTTGTGGCCTTTATGTTTTCACATATATTTTTCCCCTTTACCTAATACGAAAGGCCGAGATAACATTGATATGAAATAGGGACATCAAGGTGGCGATATCCATAACGAATTGTGCGACTCTGAGTGGGAAATTAAAAACGTGTCGTGAGGTGTGATAGGTTTGGACATTGTCACTTTGGGTCCTTAATTCATGTAAATATTTCCTATTGTTTTGCAACACTGGTGAAAATGGGGGCCTCTGATTAACTGTTGGGGCTGCGGAATTTAGGGAATTTGATAATTGTGTTGATATCACAAGGTACATATATACCCCTAGTCAGTGACTTGGATTACAAGTAGAATTGCATTTTTTTTCCCATATAAAAATGATTGGCTAAGTTCATGTGTGCTTAGGTGGGTTTAAAGGGGTGGAGAATGATTTATGCGCATTGTTTTTCACTTCACCCACACCTATGTGCAGTATGCGAAAAAGAAGGTGCATAACCTTTATTTATTTATTTATTTTCAAGGAATAAATCACAGCCTTTGCTATAATCTTTCGATGACTACATTTTTTAAATTTTGGCTCTAATTTTTCAAGGAAGCTAAAAAAATCTTTCATTCTTGCTTTCTTTTTGGCGTCGTTTAGTTTGGAGGATTGAATTGAATGGATAACAAACGAGACTTTTAGGTGACTATAAATTTTTCATTTTTAATGATTTTAGTTGAGGATTAGATATGTGAAGGATTGGAATGTACAACCTTCAAGGTGCCCATAATTTTTTTATTTCATTGTTAAGCATACTTTAAATAGTTGTTTATTCCATTTCAATTCAATATTCATACAGAATTAGGCTTCCAGGTGCGTTTTATAACACAACACTTATTATGTTATAGTGTCCGATAAAAAGTTCAATATATCCAACTGAGAGTAGGTTTCTCTTACTGTGGTAATAATTTTAGTTACTAGAGTTAGAGAAATAATTCAGTGTGTGGGGAACACGGTTCGGTACATCAAGTATTATAATGCAAGTGGTTGGAAATTACTTGTTGAGTATCTAACTACTTGTATTGTGACACTTGATGTACCAAACTGTGTGTCCCAACACTGAAAAATCTCTCCTAGAGTTGGGGCATGAGGTACTTAGACCATCTCCAATGGTGACTTATAACCTAAAATTCCCATTCCCCCCCCCCCTCCCCCAAAAACCCACTCCAACCCAAAACCTAAACCAAACCTAAAACTTAAAACCTAAAAGAAAGGCAAATACCAGCCACAATTTAGCCCACAAAGTAAAATGGGATCCACGGGTGAGAGTGAAAAGTGGGCTTTGAAGCCCACACCCCAAAACCTAACTCGCCTCACGTGCCTCACGCGCCGTCTTTCTTCCAGCCGAAGGCCCACCCATGTGGGTTGGTCCCCTCTGCTGTCATGGTTACTGTAGCCTAATGGCTACTTTTGTTCATCCAACGGCTATTTTAATTGAATCTAACGGCTTAGATCGAATATAATCAAATCAAACGGTCCAAATTTAAATCCAACGGCTAAAATAATTTTAAAAAATTATTTAACTTAAAATTCAACCAAAAACTCTATAAATACCTATGTATTTGTTCGAACATTCACACAAAACTCACTTTTCTCCTACAATTCTTCCAATTTTTCTTTCTACCATTTCTTCTCATTTCCAAAATTTTCAAGATGGCAAAATAGCATGTTAGAGGTCGTAATTGAACCTTTGACGAAGATATTGCTTTATGTTTGGCATGGATTTATGTTAGCAAAGATGGTGCCATCGGCTCCAATCAAAATAGAAAGGTTTTGTGGGGTAAAATCGTTGATAAGTTCCATGAAAACTCCAACGCTGGTTGAAGGGAAGTTGGTGGTGTTTATGATCAGTGGAAGATTATCAACAAAGTGTGCATTTTGTGGAAGGGAAGCTTGGAGAGAGTCATGGTTGACATGCCTAGTGGAAGGGACGTCTCAGAAATTGTGAGTTTCTTTGTTGATATTTTAGTTGTCATGTACATAATAGTATTTTGCAACTAATTGTTTTTATGTATTTGTTGCATAGGGTGACAAAGCAATGGCAATTTACAAGACACTACACCACAAAAATCAAGCTTTTAAGTTGCATCATGCTTGGAACATCCTCAAGGATTGTCCAAGGTGGGGAACCAATGCGAATCAACAATGTGGAAGATTATTTTATAATGAAGCCCCACCTCCAAATGGTGTCAATGAAGGTGTGAATTTTGCCAACAATGAAGGTGTCAACCAAATGAGCCCAACTTCTTCTTTTCCAAGGCCCCCGGGTAGAGATAAGCAAAAGGAAGCAAAGAGAAAGTGAAGTCCCAAGATCCGATACGTGCACAATTTGCTAGCGAAATGGCAAGAATGAACGAAAACCAGTTCCGTCGACAAGAAGAATCGGCCCAAATGCTTTTGACCATGAAGGAACAGGGGATAGGGAGCAAGAAAGGTACGAAACTAATTTGATAATGGAGGACCTCGACAAATACACTCTAGAGATGAAGAAATACTTACGTGGTAAGCAAAATGAAATTTTACGAAGGAATGCCACAAGGAATATATTTCAAGATGATGATTCATCTCAAGACTATCACCCAAGTCCATCACCAAGTCAAGATGGTGGATATCATTATTAAGTTTATGTAGTCTATGAGTTTTCGATTGTATTAAGTTTATGTGGTTTACTAATTGTCATTTTTTTAAGTGTATGTGGTTTATTAAATGTCGTTGGTATTAAGTTTTTGTGGTTTATCATGATTTTCATGTATTGATTTAGTGATTTTTCAAAATTTATCGGAATTTAAATATTTAGGTTAAAATATTCATAAAATTAATTTAGGATAGTCTACATAATTGTTTTTTAAAAAAAAAGTTAATTTAAAAAAAATAGCCTTAATTCATTCTTTGATAATCTAGGGCTAAAATTTTAGGCTAGAAGGGTTGGAGTAGAAAAGCTGTTTATGGGCTCAAACCTAAATTTTCTGGGCAAAATATTTTTAGGTTTTAGGTCACCATTGGAGATGGTCTAAAATTTTAGGCCAGAAGGATTGGAGTAGAAAAGCTGTTTCTGGGCTAAAACCTAAATTTTCTGGGCTAAATATTTTTAAGTTTTAGGTCACTATTGGAGATGGTCTTATTGTTGTATTTATTTAAGGCTTATTATACAAAATAATCCCTGAGATTTGCATGATTAATAGAAATGGTCCATGATATTTAAAATAAATAGAAATGGTCATTGAGATTGTCCAGCATCCATGATTTTGGTCATTTCGTTAAAACTCTTTGGGCAATTTTTAAAACTTCGTAACTCAATCGATTCTTAACCAAATTCGACCCATAATATATCACAATGAAGATTAAAAAGTTTAGAACAAGATTATACCTATTTGAAAGCCCAATGATTGCTGGAGATGACCGACAAATAGCCTGAAAGGTGACTGGTCCGCAGGAAAACTGGAAAACTCGCCGGAAAACTGGGTAAACTTTAAACGTTCATAACTTCTTCGATACTCAACTAAATCGAGTGATTCAAAATTGAAAATCATATTTCTTGATGAGAAGAAGAGAATGGTATCTTTCTTTACTGCTAAATCGCCATGTTATGGCTGGAAAACTTCTTGAAAGTGGCTAACTTGAAAATGGTTAGCCAATTTGGAGCCATTGTCAGACCAAACCCCGGCGCGTTAGCATTCAAAACAGGTACTATTATCTTCATCTTGTTGAGAAGTATGATTTTCATTTTTGAATCACTTGATTTGGTTGAGTATCGAAGAAGTTATGAACGTTTAAATTTTACCTAGTTTCCGGCGAGTTTTCCAATTTTTCCGCGGACCAGTCACCTTTCAGGCTTTTTTCCGGCCATCTCCGGCAACCATTGGCCTTCCAAATAGGTACAATCTTATTCTACACTTTCCTATCTTCATTTTGATATATTATGGGTCAAATTTGGTTAAGAAACGATTGAGTTACAAAGCTTTAAAAATTCCCCAAAGAGTTTTTAACGGAATGACCAAAATCATATATGGGATGATGGACAATCTCAGAGACAATTTCTATTGATTTTAAATCTCAGGGACCATTTCTATTGATCATGCAAAGCTCAGGGACCATTTTATGTAATAAGTCTTTATTTAATTGGCGTCTCACACAAAATGTTTGATGTGCTAGGAACATAGCTTGTACACCAAGTCTCATAATACAAGTGGTTAGAATTTTTTCTTAATTTTCAACCACGTGTATAATAATATTTGATGTATCAAATTGTGACACACTGAAAATCTCTCCTCACATTCAATAATTTTCCACCACCTATATTAAGAAACTTGTTTTTGGCATATCAAAAAAACCTTTCCTCGCATTGAATGATCGATAATTTCCGTAATTTCCACTTTTCTTTCTTCTCTGGTGCGACCGAAGTGGAAAGAAATCAAGGGTTAGGGTTTCTTTGTTTGCTTTCCGGGAAAGTGTGGGAAAATCACTTCCTTCTATTCTGGGTTGCTCTTGTTTGTTTTCAAAAGGGAATTGCGTGCGAGCGAAGTAACAAAAAAGAAGTAACAAGCAGGCAATTAGGGTTTCGCAAAAGCTTGAGCCTTTAAACAATGGGTGCCATTGGAAAGTGGTATTTCACAAAAGAGGAGATAGAAACAGAAACCCCATCTCAGATGCATGGGATTAGCCGGATGAAAGAGTCGGAATTGCGGAGATACCGCTTGTTTCTGAGGGAGCTGGGGACAAAATTGAAAGTGGGTAGGGTTACCATTTCGACCGCGATGATGCTGTGCCACCAATTTTACATGCGGCAATCTCATGGAAAGAACGATTGGAAGATTGTTGCAACTTCAAGCATGCTTCTTGCTTGCAAGTTAGTCAAAGAAGTCAGGTTTTTGAATGACATTGTTTTCGTGGGCTACGAGATTGGGGCAAAATTCAAATTGGGTCAAAAGAGTAGTAGTGGTGGTAGTATTAGACAAAAGAGTTTTTCTGGAAGCAAAGGGAATTGATCTTGCTT